TGATGAACTTGACCTACACCTATGGATGCAGTAGCTCAAAAGAGGGAACAAGTCCTTACAGCAAGAATCATTCCCACCCGCTCCACACACAGAGTAGACAGGGATGGGCAACTTGGACATTGGCTACCCAAAATGGGGGGCAGGGGAGTACAAAGGCAAGAAGTGATTAGCTTACAAGCTTTCAAGAGGGAACCTAGATCCAGAGGGCCTGGAGGAAGGTAGAATCTCCAGTGAGTAGTATTCAATCTGACTAGGCGGGGCTGATGCAATGAAATGCAGACAAGAAAAGACAAGAGTCTTACCTGACCAAGTTCCCAGTCCCCCTCAGTTCAGTTCTAGGACCCAAAGGCATCACTGTGTTTCTCAGCAGCATTTAGTGCAGTTTGGGAATTGACTGGCGTGAACTATCGGGGTTTCCAGTTTCTTTATGGTCACGTGTTTAACATGCACAGTGGTGTTTAGGTCTTTAGGTTTGGGGTGCTGATGTGTGGCTTCCCTGCTGACACCTGAGGGGCTGGCTTGAGGCCCCCAAAATGCCTGCTGGCCATGAGCCCATACTGCCAGGAGCACAGTGTTCCCAGCAGAGAGTCGATGCATGCTCTCTTCACGATGTTTCTGTTGGCCTGTTCTATGTTTGCAGATATTTCCAGGACTGATCCTCTCAGATATAAAACCAGCCAAGAGGATGAAATTCAAAACAGTCTGCTACCTGCTGGTGCAGCTCATGCACTGCAGGAAGATGTTCAAGGCCGAGATCCCCTTCTCCAACGTCATGACGTGTGAGGACGATGACAAGGTAAGAGAGCTCAGTGATGTCCCCTTCACACCTGCACTCCTGGGCCCTCATGGATCCTGCTTATTGTTGTTGTTAAGTGCTGTTGAGTTGATTCCGACCCTTAGTGACCCTGTAGAGCAGCTGGTGAGCTTGAACTGCTGACCTTGCAGTTCAAACGGCTTTGCAGTTTGGCGCATTAACCCACAGCGCCACACCAGGACTTCATGGATCTTGCTTAGCCTCCTTGAAAGTCTCCAGAGATGCTCTCTCCAGACTCTTCTGGAAAAACATTCAATATTTCAACATCTGGGTAGTTGGGTTGTCTGATCTGAGAACACTGGCTCTTCTGGGTGTTCTGAAGCATGTGGGGAACTTGTGGCTTCCTGCTGCCCTTCAAAGTGTGGCAGTGCAGGTCATGGGAGGTGCCCACATCGAGTAAATCATCTCACATTACGTAGAGCCACACCTCCTAGATTTATTGAATTGATGGAAGTTTCTCAGTATAAGAACCTATGAAGCTAACATCCTTGGAACTAGCATTTGGAAATTCTCTAGAGATGAATTGTCCTTCCCAGTGCAATCTAAGGTCGTTGGTGTGCTCCGTCATTAGGAAAGGAAGAAACAAGGAACGTGGTTGGTCTTCACCTGCTCTGGGCCGGGTCCCTCCTTCAGCGCTGTGTGCCCTTAGCGTCTTCCTCACACTCACCTCTGTGGGGCTTACTTGGGTCTCCTACTTTTCTCCTCAGATGGACTACTTAGGGTGACACAATTTGGGGGCTGCCCTCCTGCATGTTCCTCCAAGTTTTCTGATGAAGGGCAATCTCTGCCAGAGGTTAGGTTTCTGGGGTGGAGAGGAGGAGGCCCAGGCATAATGGTGGCATTTGAAGGGTGAGACCTGTGGGATCTTGAGGGTGGTGAGGGGAGGCGGGGCAGGACACATTACTGAGGTGAGGGCTGTGGAAGGCTAAGGAAGGCATCTTGGTTTGCTAGTGCTACTATCTCAGAAACACCACAAGTGGGTACCTTTAGCCAGCAGGAACTTACTGTCTTACAGTTTAGGAGGTTACAAGTCTGAACCCCGTGTGCCAGCTCTAGGGGGAAAGTTCAGGAGGAAGGTCCTTTCAGTATTTGTGGTCCCCGTGGTCCTTAGCCATCCATGCAGCTTGGCATCAGTATCTCCCTGGGTCTAGGAGGTTCCCAGCACAGGGATTCTAGGTCAAAAGGACATGCTCTACTCCCAACTCTTCCTTCTTGGTGGAGGTAGGACCTTCTTCTCTTCTTGTTTCTCTTTCCTTTGATCTCTTACCATCAAAGGTAATGCAGGAAACTCCCCTTATCCCTGAGCAGGGCTGTGACCTGGTTAAATGCTGTTGCATCTCACCCCAATCCACTTACAACTGATGGCTTACTCGCATCAGAACACATCACCATTACCTAACTGTTCAATTCTGTCATTACAAAGCTTCTAAACCACTGTGAATTCTATCCCAGCCAAATTGAAGCATAATTTGGGGGAACACTTCAATCCATGACAGAAGTTAAACCACTAGAAGGGGCAGCCAGGTGGGTCAGAGGGATTTTCAATGCCCTGAGCAGTTGGGGTCATCATCCTCTGACAAACCGTGTAACTGGCAAAGTGGATTACATTGGATGGATGTGGTTTTTCTGGATCCACACAGAAAGGTAGACTGTGGCTGGGATTTATCCTGGGCCACGTCCCTACTGTGCTTGGAGCCTTGCATCCAGGCTCTAAGGCATTATGGGTCAGATCTCAGAAGGAGGTAGCATGAGTCTCTTTCCTGACTTCCACAATTCCCTTCTCAAGTAAGTGTCTCTTCTAAGGAAGACTTTAGCCTGGACCAGGAAAGATATCCTTCCTCAGGATAGTCTGAAAGTATGAGCCACCAGTAGACTGTTGTGGACCTTGTCCATGCAGGTGTTCCTTGCAGCTCTGCTGTTGGTCCCTGGCAGTGTTGTTCCTCGTAGCTGTGTGTACTGTGTGCCCCATCCACACAAGACCCATCTGTCATGCCAAGATTGTTTTCCCACTTGAAATAGAGCTAGAAAGCCCCTTGGTAATGGTTGGCACTGTGACAACACAGCCACGTCTGAGACTGAAAGCTTTTGCTCATAGAAGCAGATGGTAGCCACTACATGGTGTCTGGACCAGGAAGGAAACCAGGGCTCTGGGTGGGTCTCTCCATCTCAAAAGGGAAGAACCCTTGTCTATACTCTCAGGCCCTTTGGGGCAGGTTGAGATCACGTGCCATGCCCAGTGGCAAAGTGTTAACCCTGAACCTCCCATGTGGAAGATGAGGGCTCCGTCTCCATCCTGTTCTGTCTCCCCCACCCTCTCTGTGCAGTTTAATTGCAGTTGACTAAATGCATCTTCAGACTCCTGGTATGGCGCTGTAGGACCAGCACTGGACTGCGAACCACAAGGTCAGCCGTTCACACCCACCAGCAGCTCCTTGGGAACCCTAGTTGGAATCCATTCGAGCGGTTAAAAACAACAAAATGAATCTTCACTCTTTGCTGGTTTACAATTTTGTAAATGCCACTCAGAGCTGTGCTGCTTTTATTTTCTGCAACAAAAAAGAGAAAGATTTTGTACGTTTTTGCTACTTTGTTATTCTATGTATTTACCAGCAATCCAAGCCAGAATCCCCCCCCCCCCTGGAAAGTGGCTGCTTTGGAGACTTTTGACCTGCCTCAATCTGTACCCCTGAGCCATGGGAAAGGCTTGTGATACGCCTGCCTTTCACAACCTTTTGAGAGTTTCTGGGTTTTGACTATCCCCTGTGGTAGCCTTTTGTTTCCTTATCTTGCATTTATGCCTTTATTTGACAGAATATGCCTTCCAGAAGTTTACTCTGGAAGGGCATAAAGGAGGAAAACACTGGGAACTGCCCGTGTAAACACCTGTCAAGGGTACTAGGTGGAGTCCAGGTGTGGCACTGTGGGCTAATGCGCAGGACTGTAAAGTCTGTTTGAACCACAAGGTTGGTGGTTCAAGCTCACCAGCCACTCCTCAGAAACCCTATGGTTGCTATGGGTCTGAACTGACTCAATGGCCTTTAACAACAACAACAGGATACAACAACATAAAAAAATACAACAAACAGATGCTTTTTCTCCCTTGGTCAGCTTCACTTCACTGTGCTAAGAACAGTTCCGTGCCATTCTAAATCCTGGTCCTTTGACGTAACATTTTTGTTTGGTTTCGCTCTCAAAAAGCTTGTAAAACTACTCTTTGTAGCCACAGTTCTGAAATGGTATCATGATGTAGTTTTATTTTCATGCTTTGTGACAGGAACCTGGTGGGACCCAGAGGTGTCTACTTCTGGAAGTTTTCAAGAATTATATTGTTAATTCTTATATTTCATTTTTGGGATCCCCACCCTCTGGAAATTTTGATGATATAGGTGTTGTTGTTGTCAGGTGCCATCGAGTCGGAACCGACTCATAGCGACCCCATGCACAGCAGAAGGAAACAATGTTCGATCCTGGGCCAACCTCAC